CTATCTCAGACTTTCTGAGATCCAGACTCAGGCAAGACGCAGATGCATACTTTAAGTCCCTTCCCCTTCATTTCCACACAAAAGCGAATCAGGCACGTGGTGGCGGGCTCCTGGTGTGCTTCAACACATCGAATCTCAGCAAGTACAGGAATGCAGCATCTACCGAGTATCTAAAATGGTCTAAGTACTTGGACATGATGGGTAAGCTAATTTCATGAGTAGCCTTTAGATTTGTTCAGCGTTTTGCTCCATGAGCAAGCAGGAGACATTCCACTTGTGTTAGTCACTTGATGAAATAACTGGAGCTCTTCATGCGATGCTCTGCACTAAATAGCTTGGATCATAAATCACACAAATATTATAGATCAAAGTGAGGAAGTTATGCTTGATGTCTGTATTTTTTTAGGAAACCAATTTTTCTTTCCCTCATGTTATAGGAAGATCTTTGTCAAATGAAACATTCACTACCCCTGCACAGTCAAAACAAAGGCTCTTCAGCACTGGTCTGTGAAGTCCTAGCCCCTGAGAATCTGATTTTTCTTCCTTTTTCTTACAGTTTCTATTCTCCGACTATAAAAAGAAGCTTAGAAACTGGATCCAAAGATTGCCACAGAGTCCACAGAGACTATGAAGAAGGTATGCTGAGGGACAAGACTTCAAGTATCAAAGTATTACTTCCAAACAGTGATAGAGCCAAGAGTTAACGGAGTCTACCCACTTGTAATTTGGGAAGTAGACATCCTACCCAACTCTCTGTGCCCAGCTGGCAAGCCCAAGTCAGAGTGTTTTCCTGTCCCACCACTTTCTCTTGCATGCCTCTGGCTGACAGCATGCAGAAGACCAGGCATGGCTCAAGCACGCAGGCAGGCACGTGCTGGTGTTTGGTGCTACAAGGACATGTGGGGATGGGAGGGACAGGGGGAAAGGGTCTGGAAAAGGAGAGGAACTTAAAAATCTGACCTATTACATGATAAGAAGGGAAATAGTGCATGTCGAAGTCCAGCATCCAAGGGCCAAAATAAATCTTATTTTATATGGAGGCAATAAAGAAGCACTAGAAAAATATAAAAATGAGAGGAATGATGTATGATAGTATTTGTTTGCCAGCTCTGGGAAAATGACTAATAGATTGGGTTAGCAATGAATTTTTGATTTTTGTAGAAACATTAAAGTTAGATGAACTACTGGTTTATTCATTTCTGGAAGAATAATTCCTCCTCTCATGCAATGTAACAAGAAAGCAAGACCCTGTCACTGTGGAGACAGAGAGGCAGGAGCAACCAGCAAGGTCCAGAATGACACCGTAAAAGGGAGTTTCACCTTTAGGTCCCTGGTTGAATTTTAAATAGATGAGTTGCCACATGCCTTCTGAGAGTTGTTTGATGTCCTGGGTCAGCTTGGTCTCAAATACAGCTCAGCTCCTCATGGACAAGTGTTCCCATCAGAAGCACTGCAGCAACAGATAACCTCCCTTACGAGCCCTGCAGAACTTGCACCCTTGAACCAACCTTCTGGAAATACTTCATCGTAGCACCTTTTCCTTTGCCAAAGTGGGGCAGCACCTGTTTTCTTCTCCTCTGGTACCTGAAGCTGAACTAATGTTCCTCGGATACCATAATACAAAACATAATCACCTTATACCCCCTTCTCAATTTCCGAAAGCTTGCAGGGACAGCTGACCCAGCCCCAGTGCTGTTACCTTAGGAACTGGCTTAAATTACTTTAGAGGCAGCCTTGTCATCATTGGGTCTTGATTTTTTTAACAGAAATACTGGAGTGCTGGTATAGCTGGGCTGGCTTAATGGCTTTTTAACCCTTTCAGACACCAGACAAGCCTGCTGTGAAAAAGCATGTACAGAAGGCAAACAAAGCCAAAACCAAAACCAAAACAAGCAACGAACCCGTCTCCTCACCTGGAGGATATTTGCAAATCCTGGCTAAACTTGATTAGGTTATAGTGCTGGAAAAGAACACCTACTTGTATGTGCAACAGCTTAGATGCAAGCCGAACTAAAAACAAATACATAAAAGAACCAAAAGAAAACTGTGGAAGTTAATTGCATAATTAATAAAGAATTGGTCTTAGGATCAATGATCACCTCTAAATGTAAAACCACAGCATAAAATACACCACCACAAAAAAAAATAATAAAATAAAATTCATTTGATGTCTACTTCAAAGCAAAACAAATGCTAAACAAACATTTTCAGTAGCCAAAAACTGGCTATCACTAGAAAAACACAGCTACACACATTCCTCATTGCTGGGCTGAACTCTTCTCAAAATAATCAAATGTAAAGGCTGCTGACGGAAATATATTTAATATCCTGCAGACACAAAGCATTAAAATGTTGTGTTCGGTGCAGATCACCTTGCCTGTACTTTAGGGATGTTTGCTAAGCTTCATTCTATGGTTTGCAGAGTGCTCTGAACTCATCCGGCCTCTTTCATCCTAAATTCTCAGAGTAGTCACCACCTTTTTCTTGCAAAAATTTAAGGAACATTACAAAGGACATTTCACTGCATGTCCATTAAGAATAAAAATGTTGGAAATTGCAGAGAGTGAGGGGCTGGAGTCGCTGGGGCTGTCTGAGAAGCTCTGAAACAAACAGCTCTGAGAGCCACATGTACTGTTGTGCTCTGTGGATTTTTCCACCAAACGGAGCAGGAGGAGCAGAATTTTAATAGTATCTAAAAAGTTGAATCTGAGAATCCATTTAATACAGTGAAAGAGAAAAATGCTAGAGAAATGATGTCAGAAACCATTCTTATTGTTCAAGAAGTACACCATATTTTCTCTAACTGTTGCAGAAAGAAAGCCACCAAGTGTACTTTCAAGAAAATATTTAAATAAAATTGATGAAGTGTCAACACTTGACTGCTTGTTTGAATTGGACAAAATTATAGAAGCTGTTCAATTTGTTCCAATGTTATTATATACCATAAGGACTCATTCGAGCAGTGAGAATACTGCAGACAAGGCGTGAAGATTACAAGATGTCTTAGACTTCTGCCTGGTACAGTATGAAATACAATCCAAAGCAGCAGAAACGTTTTTAGTGGAATTAATTCCTTTCCATCAAGGCTCAGTGGGGAAAAAAGAATCACTGTTCCTTATGCTGCAAGAACACTTTGTTATTTGCTTAACAGGAAGTTAAATGAATCAAAGCTTCAGACAGCAAAAAAACCCACCCCATAATCAATTAATGTGCCAAATTTTTAATAGGAAAGCAAATCATATTCATTTTTAAACAGACATCTCAGTGCTGGTGTATTTATATTCTAAAACCAAAGGTGTAAAGTGAGCTAATGGGGTATGGTATTTTTCAAAGCTTATCCTTTCTGAAGACGTCAGAGTCTTATCTGGCCACCGAGACCCATGCTGAGAGATCTGGGCTCCCTCTTTTCCTGAGTTGTGTTCCTGAGAGCAGGGTCTTATTGAGCACAGCTGAACACCATTATTTTGTATCTTCTTCCATGATCCATCACCCTCTGGCTGGAATTACAATGGAAGTCCCCAGTTACTGTCTGTGACATCCCTAATGGGCTGTCCCCAGTGTCTCACCTAGGAAATTCTGACACACTTGCATTTTCTGAGTACCAGCTGAGTGTAGACACGTCAGTCTGAAATTCTGGACCACGTGTCTTTGCACAAGCACTTACAGGGTATGGGGGATGATGCACATCACAGCTACAGCCTCTCAGCAGTGCTTAGTCTCTCAACCCAGCACAAGGTCCTAATGTACATGTGAGATGCACAAGCAGAGCCTAGGAACATGAGTGCACATCCGTGTCACAGCTGTATGACATCGCACTGAACAGCTAGAACACCATCTGCAAAGCAGCACGCCAACTGAGCATCAATCTCTGGCTGTTTAACAACATCCATTCATCAATATTTCTTGTCCAGCATAGAAATTTCACTTTGAAAATTAGACTTCCATCCCTATATCGAGGTAGTTGACGTTATTGGAATATTGGTGCACCCAATGTGAGCAAGAAGAAAAGAGTTCCACCGATAAACAAAAAGAATAAAATCCACGACTCACCGTGTCTTCCACAAGACCAGGTAAGAAAAAGAGCAGGTAAGAAAGATCTCAGTTAATCAACTACTAAGACATTCCAAGCATATATTAAGTACCAGTAAAACTAGCATGAGAAATGCACCAGCCTACTTCAGTCATAAAGCACCAAAAAAAAAAAAAAAAAGAACCTTAAAAATTTAAAACTGACCATAATTTTTTAAGCATCAGTGTTATGAAACTTTTTTCTCTGCAGTATTATTCCAGAGTGGAAACTGCCATGGAAATTCACTAAGGCTTTACCCAGACTGGCCTCTAATTGGGACTCTCATGTTCTGTAAAGCCCTGTGCAGCATGGGGTCTCCTGGCTGGGGGGCTGCCCGTGGGGGACCTCTCTCCCAGCCTGCCTCTTCACCAACAAGCTGCTTCTTACCAGGACACAGATATAATACTCTGAATAAATCCCTAAAACAATTTTTAGGGCTTTGCAGAATTTTACCTCTTTAGCACACCTTAATGCCCCATAACTTTTTAAATGGCAAGCCTCAAAAAACATTGTTTCTTCATATAAATATAAAACACTGGAAAAAGGCCCCGTATTTCAAAGTTGAAATGGTAATAATAAAAAAGTTATTTGTTTTGCACTGGAGAATTCCCCTCTGCCTTAGTTTACTATTTATAAACCACCAGTCTGGGATTAATTATTATAAATCCTTAAAGCCTAAAAGAAGATTTTAGGCATGTTATGCTATGTATAATCTATACCATTATTAAACTGAAGCTCAAATACCCATTATGTCCTATTTTTGTTGGCTGCCTTTTAACATTGCTGCGTTTTATCTACGGTAAATATTATTCCTTGAGGGGAAGTGCTTCCTACTATCTTTGAAACACCAAACTGCCAGAGTGCTGCAGGATCTCCCTCCCAATGTGACACTGCATGGAAGGAAGGTTTTTTTTTTGCAAAGTATTCTCACCGGGCACCCCGTCCCTCATCCAGTAATTGATGTCTGTTCCATCTGCGTTGTCGAAAACATCTGTAACGTTGATAGGCAGCAGCAGAGCCATGATCTCTTTGATGATGTCACGAGCTTTAGCGTTTCCAGTAAAAGCCAGCCCAGATGGCTTGAAGGTGCCCTCATCAGACTCCATGACGATATCGAAGTTGGAGATGTTTTCCTAAACATGTAAGGAAAGAACATATGGGCTTGTGATTTCTATTTTAAGTGGCAGCATATCTTGGATTCTACAAGTCACTGTGACAGCATAACACACATTTGTTTAAGGATCAGAGAAATGCTTCCTGTGATTGTACATACATAAGCATAAACGAAGGGGTCTAATATTTCTGTATGAAAACATCAAAACAGTTCAAGTTCAGTTATGAGGCATCAATAATTTGTAGAAGCCACAACATGACTGGCCAGCTGTCCCCAGCTACTTGGGAACATAGGAAATAAAATCATTGAATCATTAAGTTTGGAAAAGACCTCCGAGATCATCTGGTCCAACCATCATCCTGCTACCAATGTCACCCAGTAAACCCTGTCCCTAAATACCAGTTGGGTAAGTCATTCCCACCGTATCTCAGCTTTCACCTGCAGCTCTCACTTCTTTCTCAGAGCTGCAACTCCAGAAATTCTGGTGCAGAGGGAGGGTATGAAGTCTGGTCAGCTTTAAAATAAGACACATACAAAGCTTGCTAAGACTGCGAAGGACATCCCACTTGACAAAAACAGCTGTTGCCTCCTCAGAAACATTTAATTTTCAATATAGCATGTAGTCAACTGACTTCAATTAGAGGAGTGAAATGCCAAGGTTCTGCCTGACCTGAAGGAGCCGTGTCTGTTTTAAGGGAAGTTACTGTTTTGCAAGGTAAGCCCTTACAGGAAGCATGAAATATTATGTTTTCACGTATAAACGGCATAAAAACATTTGTTTTTAGTCTACACCTGGTAGATCCTTTTTAGCTTAAAGAATAAATTTAGCAACCAGAGCCATTCATTTGCCTCTCGTACACCCAGAGCACTCAATCACAAAGGTCTAATTGGAATAAAGTACTTGCAGACTTTACACAAAGGAAAGTTTCCCTCTATTTGAGAGCTACACAACATTTTCTGCAAAGTAAAATAGGCCGGGTCAGGCTGAAAAAAGTTATACTTCAGACTACCTTGAATACGACTAAGAGAACTTACTCATAGGTGTAGGAGACTGGAGTTTTTACTCCTGTGCCCAGACCTGATTCTAAAATTTTATCGCTGTCATGGGTTAGTACAAAAAAGTCACTACAAGAGATACGTGATACCGATGAGTAACAGATCGATGTCATTAGCAGGTTATACAAGCCTAGAGTAAAGAATTTCTTCACTTTTTTTTTTTTTTTTAATATATAAAACCACATATGAAGTACAGGTGGCTGTGAATTTTGCACAGGTATCAAAATCTGGCCCAGAAAGTTTTCAGAAGCTCCTTACCGAATTTGTCAAGAGTTGTGTTTTATGCTCTTCCTTACCTGGACTCTTTGGAGTTAAATACTCTCTAACATAGCGGAGGTTACTCTCTAACTCATTTCTAACTTAGAAACAGCAGTTAATAGAATTAATACGAAATCTTTGCAAAAGAAGCAACCATCAATGTTCTAATAACTTAAAATAACCAGTCTATCTATCCACCCATCTAACTATTGGAAATCTAGGTGAAAATAACTAACACTGCCACCAAATTGGCAATCACATTATACAATGAAAAAAAAAATATATTTTTTCAAAGAGTATGTGTAGAGAATTAGGATACTTCTAAGCCTACCATCAAATGCAGTACTACAGGTCATGAGTCTCAACATGAAATCGTGATTCGCTGTCTCTTTCGATGTGGTGGGAGAGAAGCTGGCCAAGAAAAACACACTGTGCTGTAAATGGGACCAATGACGTTAAAAAATTGCAGGTACAACAGAAAGAGTATTTCAGAATGTAAACCATCTTCGTGTAATAAATCTGAATAGCAAAACTTCATAATCTGCTAGTATTATTACTGCAGTCCTCGATTGTTTTCTTTCTCATATAAATGTCCACATGTGTTTTTAATATGAAACTGAGAAAGCAAACCACCCACGATACGTTACACCATATTCTTGCTCTGGAAGAAAGCTGTTCAATTCTTAGAACGTGCAGGAGCAACACGAAAACAAAATGCTCTTGGGAAAGAAACTAGACTCATTAGGGGACAGAAAAGAAACAGGTCGCAACTACTTGAAGTACCATGTGTCCTTGAGAAAGTTTTTTCCCCTATTATGTCTACTGGAAGACAGGATTAATTTTAAATCTATTCACTGTCAAGTATGAAAGTAGGGTATTGCAATTTAAAAAAAGGGGGGGGGTTGCTTTCACTATACCTGCTTTTGTATATGTGTATTAGCATTCCTACTTATACAGAAAGAAATACACACTGAGAAATATGCTACAGGGAAGATGCATCCTTTGTCCTTTGCACTTTATGGTGCAGGGATAACTGGCACTTATCAAAGCAGGCTGAGACAGCACAGTGCTCCCTTGGCTAATTCAAGGGAACAGGAGAACAAAACAGGAAGATTTTACAACATAACTGTAGGCTCAGCTGTTTCTTTCATTTTTCCCCGTACTGAATGCATCATTTAAACATGCATTTTAAACTCAGTACACTTTTTTTTTTTTTTTTTTTTCAGAGAGTAATCCCATTTTCTGCATCCTGGTACTTTGCCACTTCTCTTGGCACATACCAGAAAATTGTATCTCGGTGGCGTAACCTGCTGCCTGATTCTCTGAACTTCAAAATAGACTTTTATCCTTTATCTTCCTCTGCCTTGGTCACAGAATAGGTCACTTCTCTTTATCTTATCCTGTTTAGCTCTGACTTAATATCTAAATGAAACATTACAGTAAATATTGCACAGGAAAATTGGCTTTTTAGAGGTTGCTATTTTTATTGAATATGCAAATAGGCATATCTCTTTGCCTCTACTTATTCTATTTTTTTTATTTTAATTTAAAAAAGGTAGCTTCTTATTCACTCAAAATCCTCATAAGTCCTACCAGATGTTAAACTAGACTCCAACATCTCATGACTGACCTGAGTCACTAATGGCAATTCCTCCTACCCAGCTAAAGCAGTGAGATACCTGTAAGGATAAAGGAGGGAACAGCTATCCTAAAAGCCTTTGGTAATTTGGGGCTATTTAAAACAGAGTGTTACAACTTGTCCAGGACCCCATTACTGGCTTTCTTTTTATATCCACTGAGAAAAAATCATCACTTTACAGAGAAAATCCTGAAGTCTTTAATGGCAGAGCACTGTCCTTGACTAATGGTTAATTTGTTGCAGTAATAAGGGACATCAGTTAATCTGACAGTGCATTTTCAGCTTTCTGTTACTGATTTACACCTTAGGAAACACCAACACTTGCACTCCAGTATTTGACTCAGAGCAATCTGAAGCCAAATGTAGCAAGGCAATGACCATGATGCAAAACTTATGGTGCAACGACAGCCATCCCGCTTGCAGTACTTAGAAGTGCCTTTAAATCGACACCCAAGTTTGTTAGGCTGACAGCTTGGACTATGAGAAAGTCAAGAGAAAACACTGTAAACACCTAAGTGGATGTGACAGCTGGAAAAGAAGAAATAAAAAACACAACAGATAATATTTGTAAGGATTTAATAACATATAAACATGGTGTAGTGAGTTTTTGAGTTGCTGTTTAGGATCAAGATTGTGTAATGAAGCCAACAGCATAAATAAAAATACAGGAAAAAGCAGACCAGCTGTTAGGGAGCAGAGATGCGCCAGCATCGACACGCAGTAAACACAGCTACAAGCACAACCATACAGTTCAGACCCTTTCTGAATGAGGACAGGGAAAATCTGGAGCACTGGGAGTTAGAAATCTTTGTAAATCGCCGTGCCATTCTGTGGGAGAAAGTTGCTGTAAGGATGAAGATTAGCACCACTTCTGATAGATGATAAGGTATGAGCAAGACCCGTGCCTTTCCTGCCATGCTTTGTGGGAAAGCTGGCCATAAAAACAGTCCAAGGATTTTATGGCCTGTTCTCTAATTTTAGAGTTACAGGGTAGAGAAGCCAACAACAAAAGTCCCAGTAACTTCGACAGGCTCGGAGCAGCGTTTGGTCATGTACTTATTAGCATTTCACTCACTACAAACATGCTACTAGCACGTCTTGCCCTGTACAATACCGCTGCTGTTTCCTCTGCCAGCAGTCACAGAGATCACCATTCAGGACTGTGAGTTCCCAGGGATGATATGCAAGAAAAAGCAGGCAGCTCTGAAGACAGCAGCACGCCAAGCAAGGTACGCGTCAGATTACCTGCAGCCTTGTCTTCAGACTTTATTTTTCTTTGACGAGGCTTGTCAAAGATAAGTGCTCTTCCTGGAAAACACACCGTAACTTAAAGCCTTTTACTGTTCAAATACAGGGGTGTCAAACACTCCCTGTGACTCTGAATGACTGATCCCTTTTTGAAAAGTTTCCGGTTTTCATTTGAAAACAGGCGACGCTGCCAGTATCTTCTAATTAAAGGTTGTGGTTTAAATCAAAGATGATTTTTCCTGATGTATGCATTTTCGGCAAGCAAATGACTACTTCTGTAACCTTCAAGAAGAGATTGATTAAAATACATCAGCAACACCTCAGAAGTTAGCACAGCACACAGATCTTTAATGTTTCTTGTTTTTACACAGCATCCTGTTAGGCTCTGATCTAGGTAAGAAGTGCAATGTCAAAAAGAAGAGGTCACTGAGGAGAAAGTTCATGACAGTGAGCCAACAGGAGGTGACGGTTTTCTGTGGGGTATTTGGATAGAGGGATCCCAGCTTTCCTACAGCACAACATCCCAAAATACTGAGGGCCTGTGGTTGGCCTGGGACACGAAAGCAAAGGAACAGCTATCCTCAGAAGAGGTCTCCTTTTAGTAACTCCAGTCAGCCTTGCAGTGACAGAAGGGATTCCTCCAAGGACTGGAAGTTCACATTGTGGAGAAAGGATGTACTTGGAGGCCATTCCCATACATCCTGGGCCTAGCTTCACAGATGAAGCTTACAGATAATAAATAGACTTATTCTGCATATCTGTATGTATGTATATAAATGCCCCCCTCTCTCTCTCTCTACGCTGTTTAAAATTAGTTG